CAGAGTAGGAGGTGGCATCTAAATGTGTAAGTATTAAAAAGGTCTTTATTTACAGGAGACATATATGACTGTTGTGTTGTCCTAAGCTACAAAAAAAACAAAACAAGTTTATTATTGTGGGATTAATTTAAATATAACAACAGCGCAACACACTGTCATCGAGTTGGGTCTGACTCATAGGACCCCTCCTTGGATTTCTGAGGCAGTATCGCTACAGAAGTAGATTACCCAACCTTCCTTCCAGGGAAGGAAGTCCCTAAATGGTGCAAATGGTGAAAGTGTTGGCCTGCTAATTATATGTTGGAAGTTTGAGTCCACCTAGAGGCACTGAGGAAGAAAGGCTTCTTATCTACTTGCAGAAGAATCAGCTATTGAATGAATACACTACTCTGATACACTTGAGGTCAAGATTAGTTGGAATTGTTTCAAAGGTGGCATATTTTGTTTTTTAATTTAAAGATGGCACAATTGACTAGGAGGACATTCAACAAGTATAAGTTGAATAGTTAAGTAAGTATAGGTCTAACTTTGCAGATCATAAAAGAACTTTTGTGCCTCTTATAATTTTAAAGATCGTTTACAAAACTAATTTGCATTTCCATTCTGGAAACTCTCGTCTCATGTTTTATAGTGTGATGCTATGTGCCCATAAATACAAGGGCAGTTTGTAATGTGGTCAGAGCACAAGCTTTGAAAGTAGCCAGTGGTGTGTTGGAGCAGTCATTCTACATAATTAATAGTTGAGTATTCAGGTGTTATGCACCTTTTGTTAAGTCACTGGTACCTTAAAATTGGCCATGATGGGAGTATTTATGCCTTGGAAATCAGCAAACACTACAAATCTTAGTTCTTTTTTTCCCCCCCTTTGAGAAGTGGTTTGCCAGTTCACCACTGATGCAAACACTTACTAATTTAAATACCAGCTTTTACACTTAATAGCTCTAGTTAATTCTTTCCTTCAATCCTTCCTCTGGAAAATGGGTGTAATCATTTGTATGTCATAGAGTTGCTTTGAGGATTAAATGAATTAATTTATATAATTATTTAATACATACTTACTAAATATCTGATCATATTGATAACCAAAAATTATGAAAGTGACAGCTATGAAGAGAAAATCAGAGGCAGGAGGTACATGAAAAATTCTACTACAACAACAGTAAAATTGTTGCTGTATTTGCAGTTATAAATGTGAATGAGCAAGTGATTGTAAGTATCCAGTGGGACAGCATCCAATGAACTCAAGGCTTTACTCACCATAGAGTGATTGCTGTATGCTTGTCCACGCTCCCCAAAGGGTGATGATGGAGAACCAGTTCCATCCCAGGTGTTATCTTGGTTAGCTCGTTGCTCTGGGACAGGCTCATATAAGCTGTCCATAGAACCCTCCTATGAAACAGAGATTTATGAGTCAAAGAATGACAGAATTATAATTTTCCTTCAAAAATCTAATTTATTTACCCACATTTCTGTAGTACCCCATCTAAATTATCCTGGACATAGGTACTCAGAGTTGATAGAATGCCAATTTACAACAGTGAACAAGACAGTGAAGAAAGATATTCTTGCTCTTTATTACAGACCCAGGATTTTAAACAAGACTTTAAGTGTTGGGGAGGCATGCACAAAATGAGACAATTCCTCAAGATGCTTCATGAAGACATTAAGGTACTAAAATACTCAGGGCACCAATAAACTGTGTACGGTATCTGGTCACAGACTCTAGTCATATATATGCCTCTAATTAGTACTACATCTTTATGTAAGAAATAATCTGCTGTTACTAGAAAGTAGAAAATCAGCTTCTTGAATTGTAAACCAACAGTTTCATTTACTTTACAGAGTAGTCATGAGAACAAAATGATACAATGTATGCTTTGAAATAGCAAAAGTATTTCCAAGTGAAAAACAAAGCATTAATATTAATGTTTAGATCATTCATATTAATAAATAATATGAAGTTTATTTGTTTTTATCCTTTTATGGAATAATCAATTTTTAAATGCATATGCATTTACAGTTGAAATCATTGTGAATTACATTATAAGTCTCCAGTGTAATTTGTATTTGGGAAGTAAACTTATTCACTGAATTGGTTTTATTTTGTTTTCCTTTGAAGATGGAATTGGTCTAGTTCTGCATCATATAAAAAGAATCTTAAAGGAGAGGTGTACACTTTGTATATTGAAAGTTTCTAGAAATATTAATTGGTGATGCCGATAAGGATGCTATCAGTATAGGTGTTTGAGGGATTAATAAAGGGGCTTCTTGCTTGAAGCAATGAGTTCAAAATCAAATATTGAAAATGTTCTCATTTTTTAAATATTCCAATAATACCAGAAAGAGGTTTACTTGTGTTTTATTGACTATGCAAAGGCATTTGATTGTGTGGATCATGACAAATTATGGATAACATTGAGAAGAATGGGAATCCCTGAGCACTTGATTGTACTCATGAGGAATCTGTACCTTGACCAGGAGGCTGTCGTTCGAACAGAACAAGGGGACGCTACATGGTTTAAAATCAAGAAGGGAGTGCGTCAGGGTTGTATTCTTTCTCCACACTTATTCAATCTATATGCTGAGCAAATAATCCGAGAAGCTGGACTATAGGAAGAAAAACGTGGTATCAGGATTGGAGGAAGAATCATTAACAACCTGAGATATGCAGATGATACAACTTTGCTTGCTGAAAGTGAGGATGACTTAAGGCACCTACTGATGAAGGTTGAAGAATACAGTCTGCAGTATGGATTACATCTCAACATAAAGAAAACAAAAATCCTCACAACTGGACCAATGAGCAGCATCACAATAAATGGAGAGAAGATTGAGGTTGTCAAGGAATTCACATTGCTTGGTTCTACAATCGATGCCAACGGAAGCAGCAGTCAGGACATTAGACGACGTGTAGCATTGGGAAAGTCAACTGTGAAGGAACTGTTTCAAGTGCTGAGGAGCAAGGATATCTCCTTGAGGACTAAGGTGCGCCTGACACAAGCCATGATATTTCCAATCACCTTGTATGCATGTGAGAGCTGGACAATGAATAGGGAAGACCGAAGAAGAGTTGATGCTTTTGAGTTGTGGTGCTGGTGAAGAATGCTGAAAGTACCATGGACTGCTAAAAGAACTAACAGATCTGTCCTGGAGGAAGTGCAGCCAGAATGCTCCTTGGAAGCAAGAATGGCCAGACTTCGTCTCACCTATTTTGGTCATGTTGTAAGAAGGGACCATTCCCTGGAGAAGGATGTCATGCTTGGTAGGGTGGAGGGTCGACGAAAGAGGGGGAGGCCTTCAACGAGATGGATTGATACAGTGGCTGCGATGATGGGCTCGAGTATAGCAGGGATTGTGGGGCTGGTGCGGGATCGGGCAGTGTTTCGTTCTGCTGTGCATGGGGTCGCTATGAGTCGGAAACGACTCGACGGCACTTAACAACAACAACAACAACAATGTAAGCAAAGTATATGTACTACCTATGTTTATAATTTCAGGCAATATGCTGTGCAGTTTCATATTTTAAGCATTCCTGCTCCAAACACATGGCAAAGTGGGGAAATAATTAAAAAGCCTTGCTTTGAGGATTCAATTAGTTAACTTATAACTCATTGTCATTGAGTTGATTCTGACTCACAGGAGAACCCAAAACCTAAGAGAAACTCAAAGAGGTGAGTGAAACTACCACTGCTGATGGAAAGGTTGGAGGTTCAAGTTCACTCAAGAGGGACCTTACAAGAAAGGCCTGGTGACCTACTTGTGAAAAGTTATCCACTGAAAACCTTATGGAGCACAGTTCTACTCTGACACACGTGGGGTCACCATAATTCAGAGCCGAGTATATAATATAGACAGCAACTGGATTTTTTCCCCCACTGCTTTATGTAAGGCAAACCAAACCAAACCAAACTCACTGCTGTCCAGTCAGTTCCGACTCATAGTGACCCCTCCGTGCGCTTCCAAGGCGATATCACTACAGAAGTAGATTGCCCAATTTTGCTTCCAAGGAGTGGCTGGTGGGTTTGAACCACCAGCCTTCTGTTAGCAGTCAGATGCCTTAGGGGCTATGACAGCATTCACACCTACAAAAGGATAATGGAAAAAAAAAAAAAAAAACCAACCTTCTGCTAGCAACTTCTGGGGCTCCTCTTTCTAGGAAGCTGTGGGCCAGAAAGCAGAATTTAACAACACAGCCTCTAAATGGGTATCCAAAACAGCTTACTAGCTGGTTCAGAGATAGGATCAGCAATATACCAAATATCAGTTTGGGGTGGCATCCCTGGACCTGGAATGTGAGCACTGGTTCCAAATTAGATTCTGGAGTCAGAGGGGCATGCATAAAATTGTATCCCTGCTTCCTTTTTGAAAGATAGACCCCATTTCCAAGTTTATAGATCCAAAATAATAGCAATCAACTTTAATGGATTATTTATAGTATCCTTGGTGCAGAATGGATAGTTCATTAAATCTCTGCTTTTATATTTCTCTTAAAAACTCCATTTATGAAAAGATTTACAATTATCCCTACAATTTTAAATATGAGAACATTTAACTCTTTCACTGCTTTTCCTTACTGGTAATTTTTATGTGATGCTTAGTATTTAAAATCATCTACTTTCTAGACATTTAAGGTCCATATATTTATACAGACCTTCGTTTTTTAATTTCATAAGCTTCCTTTCCACTAAATCAGAAGTTTTCACTCTCTCCTTTAAAATGTATACTCCCATATGTTCACATTCATACAGACACAGATAAAATATGCTTTGGATTATGCACAGACCCCTGGCAAAAGCTGTAATCCCACCACCTTTTCACAGCTGATAACAGGACAGTGGGGTGTTGTAACACTATGGTAGAGGCCTATGTGTATAATAATTGTACTTATTTACTTCACAAGAAGGAATAAAAACAATTAAAAAATTTTTTTTTCAAAAAATTTAATGCACATTTTCTTATTAAAGTAATTAATTTTGATAACAAATAAACTTTGGAATTCTCGATTCCGTCCGCTCGAATATGGTTTTGAGCAAGTAATGTCTTAAGGACAACTCTAAAAGACAGAAAAGAGTCACAATCATATAGAGTCCATGAGGCATGGCTTTGAAGCAATCCTTTTTGAATGTGTGCTCCCTTTCCTATATTACAGAGAAAGACAATCATGCTCATTACATAGTTGTACATCTTTAGCAGCAGGATTACAAACGTATGCCACACTATGCTGAACCCATGTTATGTTATAGAAACATTAGCATACTGATTATATTATCATTCAGAACAATTTTAGAAGGCAATCGTTTCTGGTGCTACACTGCTTATTTCCATAGGAAGTATATTCATATAAAACATATATGGTCTTTCAGAACAACTAGAAAAGAAGGCATAATACCACTTAAATCAACTGAAATGGGATTTCTCTAGTCAGATGTATATGGCACAAATCAGAGTGGAGAGCTGGCAGTTATTTTGTAAATTGGGACTATATAGGCAACCCAAACTCGATGATTCAGCCATCCACACTCACAGCTGCATTTGATTTTTCAAGATGCTGTTAGATTAAATCCCTTATCTTGGCTTAAAATGCCTCCTGTTTAGGTATTACAACGTATGTCAGCACCATCTCTAGTGATTATGTTAATCTTATTTGCAATTTGGAAAGAAAATAAACCTCAGGGTAAGCCATTTTATTTCTCCAAATGACAGGGATCTCCCAAAGACATCTTGAAAAACCAGTGAACAGGCATAATGTCCTGCTGTAAACACAGATAGAAATGAATAAAATTATTTCTGAAATCAATTTTTAAGCATTGGCAGATGGTCACAATTGCAGGTTATAGTTATAAGGTAATTCCAGATATGTGACTACCTGGTAACTTTCACTGATTCACTTTAAGCTAAAGAAAAACTGTAAGAAAAATTTTGAGGTGCTTATACTCTTGAATGAGCACATCTCCAGGACTGGATTAATCTATTGTACCTTACATTTACAGTGCTGTGTAATTCAGAAAGTGCCCCATGGAAGCTTAACCAAGCCAACATTGAAGGAAAATCATCAGTCAAACAATGAGGAGGAAATTTTGATTCTTGAATCTCTGAAAGCAAAGCAAGTAACCCATACGGCATTCTTCTAAGTAATGCTGATTACTAATATCCTTTGGAAAACATTTACATTTGCCCCTTATTCTTTAGTTAGGATCACTTGTTTTGCAAAAATTTTTGTCATACTCATAATAAATAGAAGAAAATGGTTCCTCAAAAATACTATTTACAGAAAATTATACTGACAAATTCAGCCTCAAAATATTAAGTACCCAATAATTGTTGTAGATAAATGTACATTGTATGTAACTTATTCCTCCCTGAATAGAGTTGCTTTATGCCCTTAAGGAAAGCATACCCTTTCTCTGTCCTTTTCTAATACAGACTTTCTTATGATATCCTAAATGAATTAATATTACCACTTAGGAAGTTTAGAGTGTACCTTAATTTCTTTCATTGTAGTTGACAAGTTAAAATAAAAATGAGGACACACATGGTCCATGAAAAGAAACTTACCAATGAAAAGCAGAAAAGATTCATTTTGGTCAGCTTGAGTCCGTTGTTGCTGTGTGTTAGACTATGGATGCTCCGTATAGCTACTCTTGCCTTCCCAGCTGTTTGGCCAGTTCTCATGGGAGATTATTACAAAGTGAAATCCCTGCAATAATCCAGGAGATTGGGGGACCATTATCAAATGAGATAGGTCTTTATTGAACAAGCCATTTCCTAAATTAATGCAAAATCCTGACTGACAAAATCAGAGAATGAGATGTACCAGTATCTGTGTTACCAGATTTTAAAGGTGGAAATGTTATTTCTAAAATCTGGAGGAAAAAAAAAATACAATGCAATCAAAAACAAGCCTAGCTAACTAAATTTAAAATATGAAGAAAATATCATTCTTTGATATAAAAATAACACCTTCTTTTTAATGGAAATAGATCAAGGCTCTGTCCCGTATGTCTACTCATCTCATATCCTTATTTACTCTCCCATGAATTGAGTTCCTACATGACCAAGATATTGAAATAAGCACTTTTTGCATTTTATTTTATTCCATCTTCACAAAACTCTTGAAAAGTGTTTTTTTTTTTTTCTCCCTATATTAAGAATGAAGAAATTAAAGCTCAGAAGTATAAGTAATTTTTTCAAGGTCACTAACTAGAAAATGGTGGATTCTAGATTCTATTCCAGTAATTTCTGTTCCCAATCTATGTTTTTCACACTGTATCATCCTGTATATACTTTCTGATAATACTTAGCTTCTGAATCCTCAGTAAATCTATCTTTAGAATGGCTGTGTTAAACCTAGGTATCTAAATGCAGCAGTCAAAACCAGGACATCCTTTGACAATTATGATGTCTTTTTGGTCCTGGATATGCTTGAAATCTAGCTATTTTAAAAATACAGTAGTTTTTATGAAAGTTAAATTTTGATCTGGAAAATTAATTTCTTCTTCAGCTAGGCATGCTTATTTTTCTTTTAAACAATGCTTATTGCTAACATCCTTGGAAAAACATTTACATTTGCCCCTTATTCTTTAGTTAGGATCACTTGGAGAGCTATAGTCACACTTTCTGCTTTAGATTGTTAGGAGCTAAGAATGCTCTGAGTTGCAAGTAACAGACTACATGACTGAGTGTACGTTACTGTGGTGGTTATGTTTGTATGTCAACTTGGCTGGGCCTAGTTGAGTGGCTGGGCAGCTGGTGGCAGTTATTCCCCATGATGAGACTGGCAATCAACTCCATGGTGGGATCTACCACAAGCAGCTGAGTAGCTGCTTTGGATATGTGGTCTGCTTCCTCTATATGAGAAGCAGCTTTAGGAATGGTCTCTAGCCTATGGCACACTTGGACCCTGCATATAGCCGTGTGGTTGTTCAGCAGCCTGCCACACTCTGCTGACCTTGGGACTTACAATGAACTTACATTAATGGCCTGCCATGTGGTTTGGTAACATCTGGACTGTGCCATTTTACTTTTCAACCTTGGGCTTGGCAGCCTCAGCAGCCAGAAACTGACTGAGTGAAGGAAAGCCTCTAGCTTCAGTGGGCTGGAAGCAGGAGGCAGAGCTGAAGCCCAAGGCTGAGGGGCTTTCACCCAGCCCCCAGAGCCTGGCACTTGGAACTCAGACTTACAGCCTCCAAATTGTAAGAGAATAACCTCCTGTTTGTTCAGCCATCCCATTTGTGGTATATTCTTGTCAGAGAAGCACTAGGTAACCAGAACAGTTACTCAAGAAGTTATTATTCTTATGTAAGAATAAGTCTTAGGTTGACAATTTTTGCATTGATGCAGAGGGTCAGTGTGGTCAGAGTCACGGTCACTGTCTACAGTACTCTGGCCCTTCCCTACATGGTCTGAAGTTGGCTGCAGAAACTCAAAGCACTGAGTCCTCACACAGTTGTTTCAAAAGCAAGAAACAGGCATTAACCACACCAACCTCAAGCAGGCCTCCATGTTTAGATGCCTTTCTATTGTGCCCCTCAGCCTTAGAAACCTTGTAAGTTTGTTTGTTTTCCATTTCTGTACTTTCTCTTCAGTATTTTTGAAGAGTATAATTTGAGGAACATTTTGAGAAAATATAATATTAACTTTTAATCACAAGAAAAACAGATGAAACCAGAACAATATCTGTTCCTTCTCATCTTCTCTGTTAGAAGCTATGCTATTTAGTTTCAATATATTTTTAAAAATCGATTATGAAAATTTTCATACTTACTCAAAAGTGGAGTACAATGATCCATCTATATTCCCATAACCTACATTCAACAATTACCAAGATATTGCAACACTTGTTTCTTTTATCCCTTTTTATTCTTATCATTTTTCTTTTCTGCTAAAGTATTTTAAAGCAAACTCCAGACATCATGTCATTTCACTCCTACATACTTCAATTTGTATCTCTAAAATTATTTTTGACATTTTCTTACATAATCAGAGTGCCATTGTTACACTAAAATTATCCCCTGATAACTTCAAATACTTTCTTGTGTCACTCCCCCAACAGAGAGATAGGGTCTATTTCCTTGATTGTGGGTTGAGACTGTGACTACTTGGATCAATGGCACTAACATTTTGCCATTTGCAGCTGTATCACTGTGTTAGTTCTGAGCCTAACCTTTAAGAGGACTGCCAGCTTTCATTTCCTCCTTCTTGGGACCCAGCTGCCCTACTGTGAGGAAGCCCAATTTGTATCACCTGAAGGAGAACCAAGGGCTCCAGCAACAGTTCCAGCTGATCTCTAAACTGACAACCAGAACCAATGTGTTTATGATGTGAGTGCAGCCACATAGGAAGCAAATCCTCAAGCTCCAGTAAGCCACCATAGCTGATGTTACATGGAGTAGAGAGTTGTTTCTGTAAAGCTGTGATCAAATTTCAAAATTGTAAGCAAATAAATTATTATTTTTTCAATCACTAAATTCTAGGGTATTGTATTATGTTTTGTGTTTTGATAGTCAAAGCACTATTATTAAAATTCCCCCAATGAGCTAAAAAAAAAAAAAAAGTATCTTTTTATATGCTCCATTGAATTAAGTCCCAAACAAGGGCCACATGGGCCACATATGACATTTGGTTATCATGCTTCTCAAGTCTATTTAACCTAGATAGTTCTCTCACTCTTTCTCTCATTCTTTTTCTTTCTTGGCACTAATTTGTGGCAGGAACTAAATCCTTTAAAATATATCACATTCTAGTTTTTTGGTCTTCTTTACCTAGTAATTCCTATGAATGAAGATTAGGCCTTTTTTTAAAAAAATGGAGGTCGACTAAATTCTGAGTCAAATTTTTTGCAAGAATGTTTCATAGGGGTTCCTGGATGTTATATATTACATCATATCAGAAGGCACACAATATTTTCTTATTTATTTATTTATTTATATTGTGATTTGGGTGAAGATTTACAGAGCAAATTCACTTTCCATACAGCAGTTCACATATACTTTGTCTCATG